GAAAGACAAGGCCAAGGTATCCAGAAGAAGTGGGAGAGAAAGAGTGAAAAATAATGCACACTATAATAGGTCACTTAGATGTCATAAGGGAAAGACTCTCGAGATGACGTCAGGGCACGACTAAAAAATAGATTAGAGCAGAACATGAAAGGTGCAGGTTAACTAATAGCAGAATTGAGGCAGAAGAGCAAAAGTACCAAGTGCAAGAAAGAGAGGAAGCACGAGGGTGACAAGGGGGCGACCGAAAAGCTCAAAGGGAGGAGCATCACGACGGCCAAAAGAGCAAAGAGGGAGGAAAGAAGCATTAAAACTTTTTTTTTTCTTATTCCTTTTCATAAAATCCTGTTCCTCACTGGTTACTTCTTAACCTTTTTTTCTGTTCCTTCACTTCCCCCTTCCACACTTCCCCTTTTTCTATCCCCGTTCACCTCTCCATTCAACTTACCTTCCTTCCTTCCTTCCTTCCTTCCTGTCCTTCCTCTCACTTCCTTCCTTCCTTCCTTCCCTTCCTATCCCTTCCTCTCCTCTCCTATCGCTTTCCTTCCTTCCTTCCTTCCTTCCCTCAATTACTCTCTCCGCTATATAGGTAGTGCATGACTGACTGTATAATACAACGTGTTCTCTCCTCACAACCAGTTTCATTTTCAACACACATTCATCCAACCACCAACGTCACGTCAATTATCAAATCAATATCTGATCAACATGTACCAACTTAATTTCATATAATTTTAATGACCCACCAGGCCTGTCAACCCTGCCAACAAGTCCATCTTCACCATCGGGATAAAAAAGAAGCGGAGTTTGTTAATTATTATACCTTGAATTTGATACAATCACCGTTTATGACCAATGTCACGGTCATTGCTGCCAGTATCTAAGATACAGATCTAGGTAAATACTTACAACTATTTGGTTTTCTATCTAAATTTGTTCTGAAGACTTGTTGACTAAAATGTACTTGCGAACGTTTTCACAGTCTAAGAACTATAATGAGTGACCAATGTGGATCGATGATGCACATCGTTAACAACACAAACGATTAATAACCAATGATATATAGATAATGTTTATGATAATCGATAGTCATGATCAATAACTAACACATAAGGGTGAAACTTAATAAGCATAAATAAGAAGTAGTCACTTAAACTCTATAAGCAATGCACACACAATATATCCCCACTACCACCTATCCAACCAACCAACCAAATGAAACCCACAAACAACTACAAAGACCGACCATACAACACCACTAAACAACAGCCATAAACGTACTGTACTAATAATACATTCAACTAATAACTAATAACATCAATAAATCTAGGGCTATAAAGCATAATGCTCGTAGTATCATAATGACCAATATCACATATTTATGCATTAGTATTACAACCGATAACATAAACAAAACAGTGCATAATAATTATATGATATGTAATAACGCCTAAATATCTAATCCGGAAAGCTCAGTGCATACATAATTGCTGAACTATTTGATAACCTCAACAAATACAATGATACTATCATCAATACTTATATTCTAAAGAACACATGCAGATCAATAACTCAATATGGCACAAGCAATAAAAACAAACAAAATAACAGGTAATAAAAACAGATTAAAGATAAAACAGCGGATGGCACTGAAGCCTCATCCACAGACTAACAAATAAAAATCAACATTCAAACGGGCCACGGATTGCAGGCAAATAATAATACGATATCAACCCAACGCAACACCAAAACTCACAATACACGAAACCGTGAGCTGACCAATAGCTAGCAATTTCACGACCACATAAATAAAACGAGACAGTTTAATAAGGTGGAAAAATTTAACCCTACATCATAACATCCTACTGACTTTTCATGAACGCCTAAAAACTTACCCCCGACCGTTTTCGTTTGACTTTCTTGAACCTCACTTCGGGAGTGAGAGAGAAATAAAAGTAAAATAAGAAAGAACGATGAGAGAAGAAGAAAAGAAGAGGAATATAAGTTTATCATTTTCTAAAAAGGAAGACAGTGCTTTCACTTAAGCACTTAGGACGGCGCTTATGGAAAAGCCGGCATCTATGACAAGCCATACCTGGAAGACCATTCAGCTTAAATCTAATTGCATTAATAACTCATTCAAGGCCTATCGCTCCGCTCATAACGACGCCTGAAATTGTTGAATATAACTTCAATTTGTGCAACCATGAGGAAGATACAGAGGCATCTGAAAGGTATGAGGGGGGGGGGTGTCCTAACATCGTGGAGTCTGAGGGGCAACGGCTTGGACAAGCTATGTAGATTATGAAAGAGGCGTTGATGCACTATAATATGCATATATATATATATATATATCATATTATATAACTTATAATATATATAATATAATTTCAATATCCATATATAAAACATATATACATACATTATATTAATCTGATATCTAGTACTAATATATCATAATATACTATATACTACGTATTAACTACTATACCTATATATCATAATATATACCCATATATATCTATATATAATATATATCATTATCCATATATATATAATATATATACTATATATATATATATAATTAATATATTCATATCAATATAAATATATGATATTCATATTATACATATAAATAATACAATAATATACTACCTATATTACTATACTATATGTATTCCATATACACACATATGCACACAACAACACATATTACACAAACACACACAACACATTATATATAATACCTTATTATTATATATATATAATATATTACTAAATCTGTTACATTATCTATTAATATATATAGTAATATACGAGCAGAAGCACGGAGAGATGTGATATGAAGAGCAGTCGAGACATAGACGCAGAGACTTAAGAAAAGATCGAACAGAGAGAGCTATCGAGATGAGAAGAGAGATGAGAGAGCAAGCGGAACTACGGAGGGCGCGGAGAGGAGGTAGGAGGCGAGGCGTACCGGGAGGGTAAGGGTTCTTAGGTAGCACGGGATCACTGAATGAGAGAACGAGGGAGGAGGGAGGGAGGCGACGAGAGACAGCGAGACGCACACCGGCAAGGAACTCGAGGCATCGCCCAGGCACAATGAAGAAGAGGGGAAGAGAGACGGGAGTGAGGAGCGGAACTCCCGAGAGGCACATGAGCGATCGAGAGACTGACGAGAAACGCGGGGAAAATGGGAAGGTCAACATGAGAGAAGATGGGAGGGGGGATTTTAATGAAGTAGCAAGAGAGATCAGCAGACAACATATAGTGGAGAGTTTATGAAGAAGATATGAGAGTGGTGGAAGGAGGGATTGTTAGTAGAGAGCAAGAGAAGATAGATAGAGCTTAAAGTAGTGGACTGCGTTACGAGGAGGAGAGAAATTTTAGAGAGACGTAGAGGAGAGACCGAGAAAACCAGACGCGAACGGACGAGAAGCAGGACGCGAGATCGCTTTGCCACAGAGATAGCAAGCGCCACGGATAACTGGCACTGAGTCGAAGAGAGAAGAGAGAGAGAGATGAGAGCGAAAGAGAAAGAAGACTGCAGAAAAACGGGAGAGAGAGAGTAGAGTAACTAGATCAGACATACGAGATATATGCCGATCCAATCTACACCCGACCCCACGAAAACATCACGAAATAAATCAAAACTCAATAAAACAACCCGAACTGCACTATTATTGTCATCTTCCTGTTCCTCGCTTCCGCAAAAGTAGGGAATCCTATCCTTAGTCCATATATTATGTGTTACTCTACCTACATAGCAAAATTGAGGAAATCAGGCCCGCGAGTGTGTTAACACTCTCTGCTTACACTATTCTCGTTAATGAAATTTCCGACTAAGATCAAGAGGAAGTCCTGGTATCAAAACCAAGTCACCCTCCACAGGCTTTATTCTATTGCCATATCACACTATTATGTCATTACTTTCATGTCGATTGTACGTGTGGTATGTGTGATGACCTGTGTGTTTGTATGTGGTGTGTCGAGCTGTGGTTGTATGTTATCGGTAAACCATCAATGTAGGGTGTGTGTTTTCATGTAGGTGCGATGTGTGCGCTTGAACCACATGTCAAGATTAGTTGTGTTTGTATGTGGTGTGTGCTGCGCTGTCTTCTGTATGTTGGTGTGTTCTGAACCTTGTGTTGTTTGTATGTTGGTGTTGTGTGTGCGTTTGTACGTTGGTGTGTGGTTTGTGCGTGTGTGTATGTACGTGTGTGTGTGTGTGAAAGGGTATGTTAACTATGCGAATTCAGGGTTTATATCTATATTTGTGTGTACCTGTGTATGTCTGTGTGCATGAAAGCTGCGAGTGTACACATGAGATTGAGCTCGGTATCTGAGCCCCTTCGCGTCAGTTCGCAACCGCGCCCGGCTCATCCCCTCCGACCGAAGGCATCGGCGTCTGCGCCTTGCACTTCCCGCAGCGCCCGTGAGGTCTGGCGGGAGGCCGAGGCTCCTCCGGCGGCCTCGGGGCTGACAGAAGGGCGCCCGTGACGCGTTTGTGTTGGCGCGTGATTTGCGTGCACGCGAGAGCACGCAGGCGGTGGGCGGAGCGGCGGCCCCGAGCAGGCGTGGGCGTCCCCCGCCCGCGCCGCCGACCGACCAGGTTGGTCCAAACAACGTCATTACTATGCAAATGAGCCGCCTTTGTACCTAGCCGCCGCCCGCGCCGCCCAGCCGCGCGAGGCCACGCCCTCCGAGCACGCCTCACCCACCCGCGAGGCGCCGAAGCCACGCCTCCCGCCCGCGCGTCCACCATGCAGCGGACGAGTGTCATGGCCATGCACTGCTAGGCTCCGCCCAGCCGGGAATCCAGCCAATCGGAAGCCGCGCTGGTGGTCACGTGACTCGCACCGCGCTCAGCTGCAACGGCATCTGCAAGAGTCAGTGCGCCCTGCGCTGCAATCTTGCCAACACACACGCCCACCCCCGCGGCGCTCTGCGTTGGAGGCCTACGGCTTTCGAAGCGACGGGGCGGCGCGCCCCTCGTGCCCACCATGCCGCGCCCGACGCGAGAGAGCTACGGCGACCAGAAGCCGCCCTACTCCTACATCTCGCTGACGGCCATGGCCATCTGGAACAGCCACGAGAAGATGTCGACGCTGTCGGAGATCTACAAGTTCATCATGGACAACTTCCCCTACTACCGCAAGAACACGCAGCGCTGGCAGAAACTCCTCCGCCACAACCTCTCCTTCAACGACTGCTTCATCAAGATCCCGCGGCGCCCCGACCGCCCCGGCAAGGGCGCCTACTGGACCCTCCCACCCGTCCGCCATGAACATGTTCGAGAACGGCAGCTTCCTCCGCCGCAGGAAGCGCTTCAAGATCCCCAGGACGAGAAGGACGCCCTCGAGGTGGCCTGGCGCAGATCACGTCGCCGCGCGCCGCCCGCGCCCGAGGAGCCCCGCCTGCCCCCCGGCCTCCCGCCGCCGCCCCTCAAGCTGCACGGGCGACCCCTGGCGCCCGCGGCCCACGCCGCCCTGCTGCCGCCCCTCCACCTGCTGCCTCCGGGCCTGCCTCTCGCGCCTGCCGCCCCGCTGCTCTACCCGCCGCACCTCATGTACCCCGGCTGGGGCCGCGCCTTCCTCCACTCCCTCACCACCTACCTGCCCACCCGCCGCCCCTCCCCCTCCGCCGCCGCCGCCGCCACCGGCGCCCGTGGTGCCGAGGCCTATCAAGCCCACACCCGTCCTGGCCCGCCCGCCGCCCATGCTGGAGGGCGCCCTCACGGGGGTGACGTAAGGGCGGCGCGCCCTCCCGGCGCCGCCGAGTGCCGCCCGCTGCCCTGCCGCGGGCGCCGTCCCCCTTCGCCGCGCCGCCGGACGCCTCGTGCAGTGATATGTGAACAGTGCAATACGAAAAACTCAGAGACAAGTGCAGTGACAGTGAGGCAGTGCAGTCCGGGCGTCCAGGACTCGCAGGACCGCGCAGGACCCCCTTCCTACAGGGCGAGCGCCCGAGCTCCCATCGCACGAGAAACGGGTAACCCATGGCCAGGGCGAGCAGGCGCCTCCCCGGGACGGCTGATCGCACCTTACCGCGCCCGTCGGGTAAGGCGGCTCAACTGCTGACCTTTGACCTCACGTGCTCCGTTGGGACCTGCGCGAGCGCCGTAAGACACTGCCGCCTCAAGTGAGCCAGAGTAATAGTGTGTATTTAAGGTCTATTTCTCATTTCACTGTCAAATCTCGCTTCATTTTTCACCCTTCCATCTCCCCCCGTTGCCCGCCTGGCGGTCGACTAAAGGGAACCTCCGTCGAGGTCGACTCAGCCCGGGCGACCGCGCATCCTCGAACACTCATCCCGTGCAACGCAGAACCACCTCATAGGACTAAGGAAAAGATGAAAGCCTCACCTTGGCGTGTCAGTTCAGCCTCGTGGTATAAACTTCCCTTTTCACAAAACGGACGGAGCTCAGCCTTGGAAATCCTCACTCTCTCGCAAGTAAGTTCGTGATGGACAGCTGACAGTGACGAATGACAGCTGACTTCGTGTGCAAGTGCAAGTGCCGCCATGTACGCCTGTTGTATGTCAGCTGTATCCCGTGTACGCACAGCTCCGCCCCGTGTACGCAAAAGATCCGACATACCCTTAAGAATAAGAGAGAAAAAAAAACGTTTAAAAGAACTCAAAGAGCTGTCAGTCTAACATCCATGTGAAAAGTCGTGCAAACCAAGAGAGAAAATTCGAAAAAAAAAAATGCTAACAGTAACAATATAAATAACTAGATGATAACAATTACGCTTGAAATATCGAAGAGTTAAGCATATAATTATCAGTGGTTTAATTCTCTTATCTCACTAATCTCTCAACTCTCCTCCCCACACCTCTACCCTCCATCACCCATTCACCCCTTACCCCACATAAACAGACCCACAACCGTCACTGACAACATTCCTGTATGTCCGCCTCCAACACCCCACCACTAATAACCACGAGAGCCTGGAATGGGTGATGGAACACCAAATTTTAGTGACCTTTACAGTACTGCATATGGCTTGCAAAACAAGCATACAATACGAAACCATAAGTACAACATCACATGGATGTAAGTCACAACACATATTCCTGCTCATATGCTCCCATTGCCATCTGACTCCCCACCTCCCGCCATGTACACCGCTGCCCTCACCCTGTCGCAGTTCTTCAGGTGCCCTCCTCTCCTCACCATAATCACTTAACCCTTTTTCTCCTTCCAAGTCACCAATCCTCCTTCAGTGTCGGTTGCGATAAGCCTTGAGCATGATAATCTGGACACTTGTCGATGTAAGTTATCGTGTGTAAAGTAAAAGCGTTGTATCGTTAATGAATGTTATTTTATGGTTGTATTGCTGCTCGGAGAAACAGAGGAATATTTAAGCTTAAGTGTCAAGAACGCTTTAATGGCTCTTTATATCTTGAATCTGATTATGTATCTTTCTTAATATCATATTTATTTATACTCGCGTATTCGCTATATTACAGCTTCTGTTATATCTTATTTATATGATTTGACTCTTTCAAATTAGAAATTTTACTTTGTGGATATCTTTTAATATTTGCTTATTATTAGGCGGCTTTCCTGAATTCTTGTGTATAAGGATTAAAAATTCTGAGATGATGTATGACATATAATACGAGTGATAAATATAAATTCATTAACGGTATATTCTAGATTTAATTAATATATAGCACAGTCTTACCGAGCATCTCTACTCACCCTAGCCTCTCTTCTTTCTTGCTCATCCTCTCCTCTCTCCCTGCGTCTCCCTCCCTCCTCCTCATAGCTAGTGTTATGTTATATAGTCCGATTATAATAATTTACTAATATATAATAAGATATAGTATATAAATTAGCATGTAGACGATTATGTGGTGATCACTAATTTTATATTGTTTAGTTTAATTTATATTACTAAAGGGATTAAATCCATGCTTTATATTACGGTAACTCGGTAACAAATTAAAGTACTAATTTAACAAATGAGTTAGTCCTTACTTATACG